GAAGGGAAGATAAGGACGATAGATGTTTGATAAGAAAGAAGAAGCAAACCAAACCAGAGCACCCGCCAACCACCCACATTTGTCATGTTTAAAAATTAGTCGTCCCCGTGCCGTACACTCCTCTAACAAATTCCCCTCATCCTTTACATTCTCCTCCTCTCCTCTCTACCACAACTCTTCGTATCTCTCTGCTTCCTCTCTTCATCTTTTATACTGTCCTCCTCCTCCTCCTCCTCTTCCTCCTCCTTCTCTTCCTCCTCCTCTTCCTCCTCCCTCCTCCTCCTCCTCTTCCCTCCTCCTCTGCCTCCTCCCCTCCTCCTCCTCCTCCTCCTCCTTCTCCTCCTCCTCCTCCTCCGCCTCCTCCTCCTCACTGTTGTTATTTTCATACTCCACTCTCATTACTCCTCTGACCACTGGTCACACCCACGACAGCCTCATTAGCCTGACCTCAATCGCGTGCGCGTGCGAGCCGTCACCATAAACTTAAAGGTTACAAAAACCTGGTTCTTCATATCTCTTGTGGATTCTCCAGTCCGGAAGAACAACAGGCTTCTACATGGCCTCCCTCCCCTTCCCCCCCCTTCCCAGCACCCGAGGGACACCGCCCAACGCCCGTCTCGCTAATACAGCGAAGAAGTCATTCATCAGAAAGCCCGCCTGGGAAAATATTCAGGATGGGCAATTATTTAAAATTTGATTGTACAGGGCTTATAACCGAGCTAACAATATCCCCCCCCCCCCCCCTCCCACACTCCCCATGCCCCATTTCGTTTTATTATAAGAAGACTTTTCTTATAGCTTAACCTGGATTAAGGAATATGTTAAAAAACCCATCTATGAGTATGAGCGATATCTTACTATTTTTAGTGGGTGGTTGGCGGGTGCTCTTGAGTGGTTTGCTTCTTCTTTCCTATCAAACATCTATCGTCAATATTTCTCCTCCTTCTTTTTATGTTTGTAACAACTCTAATCTACTCTCTTGTAATAATTCTAATCTTCAGCACTTATATGACCTTAATGTGTTGGAAGTACAGTAAAACCCGTAATTAAAACAGCGTATTATAAATTGAAATTAGGACAAAGGTCATTTAACCCCATTTTTTGTATTACTTTATATTGCAATTTCTCTTTGTCCAGTTCTGGAAGTTTCTATAAAGAGCCGATTGTCGATTTTTTCTCAGTAGAGTATCAATTATGAAAAGCTCGCAGACTTTACTTCACTAATTCTGTTTGACTGCCCATGTATTGTTAGTTGAATGGGAAATCAAACATTAGTGACCAACCAACAGTTAAAGAGAAATGCAATATGAGTCTCTTAATAATAATAATGAGTCTCTTAATAATAATAATAATAATAATAATAATAATAATAATAATAATAATAATAATAAATGACATTTATATAGCGCTCAACCCCGATTAAAGTACACAGGCTCTAACCGCAATACAATACATTACAACGTACAAGAGTAACATAAAACATTGTGTTCTGACTAAAAGAAAATCACTCCAAATATTCACCCTTTTAGTTTAAAAAACAGAAACGACTTCAGCTGACATTAGAATGAATCAAAAGATTTAATCTCTCTTAAAGTACTAAATGCCTTGTCACCCATTGTTTTAAGTTTCATAGATGGTAAAATAAATTTCTTTTTGCCAGCTGATGACCTTAAACAGAGAGTTGGAATGTACAGTCTTAACAGATTTGATAAATATGATGGTGCATTACCGTTCAAACTGATACCCTCACGAGTTCCAGTTTGTGACAAAACCCATTTCATGTGTTAGTTAGTTAGTTAGTTAGTTAGTTAGTTGGTTAGTTAGTTAGTTAGTTAGTTAGTTAGTTAGTTAGTTAGTTAGTTAGTTAGTTAGTGTGTTTGTTTGTTTGTTTGTTATTTTCATTTAGCTGCTCTAAGTCAATCAGTATGGCGATGCTGTCCGGACATATGCACGTTCACTCATCGATTCGTCTCCAACTCCCGACAGCTTCTGTTTATTTCAACAGGCGCGCATTCTCTCCTCCCATTGATAAAAATGTGACATCGACATTATTCTTTGAGAAGCAGAGGGCGCTGTCCTTCTTCATCATTGTTGCTTCCGTGCTAAGAGGAGGGTCGCGGAGGTGGGGTCTTTTGTGTTGTGGTGGGGAGGGCTCCAGTTCACATCTTTCGTTTGTTTTAAAATCACGGCTTTCTCTCTATCTATCTATCTATCTATCTATCTATCTATCTATCTATCTATCTATCTATCTATTATAAATAAGTTAGTCATACACAAAAAAGCTAACATGTATCTGTCTGTCTGTCTGTCTGTCTGTCTGTCTGTCTGTCTGTCTGCCTGCCTGTCTGTCTGTCTGTCTGTCTGTCTGTCTGTCTGTCTATCTGTCTGTCTGTCTGTCTATAGGTCTGTCTATAGGTCTGTCTATAAGTCTGTCTGTCTGTCTTATGCGATATGTACCTTTATATATCGTTAGAGACAAAGATAAGAATTTCGAATCTGTTTTAGGAAAGAGTTGGTGTCACTTTTCTCTGAGCTTTTTCATTTATAGCACTGCGCACCCTCGATAAAGTGAACTTATTTTCTGGAGTCATTTTATTTTGGCACCTCTGGGGAATCCAAGCTTTACTGAAGACCGGTTTCTTTATTGTGTTTTTATTTCCAATTTCGCCTATCCATTATTCCCCTAATGAATGCTAATGGTGGAAACTCGATCGTCTTTGTGGGTAGTTTGAAATTGTGAGGCCAGTGATTCATGAGCTTTGATTTCATAACGTATCTCTATGGGTTAAAGTTGCAATATATTGCTGACATTTTTATTGGAAGGATTTTGTACTTTATAACTTCTTTTTTTTAAGTCTTGGGGGGGGGGGGGGG